ATCGCAGGCCGGAAATGGACAGCCAGGACAGTTTCCATGGGTCAAGTTTGGCTTGACCGAGGCGGAGTACAAGATCCGCGGCCGCTACGGCAGCTGCTATTGGTGGAACAGCACCAAGCACAAGACCTCCCTGYGCCAAAATCAGGGCAAGGAGGATGTGCGACCCCGCCTCAGCTCGGGAAACTGAGCTCCGCGGAAGGTGAGGCGACTCCACCTTTTACTCCGCCAGATTTGGCCGCCTTGCTAGCGGCCTCCTGCACATTTGGGGAGGATGCGAATGTCGCAAGTCCTCGGTATATTTACGAGGATTATGCTGTCCACTTGGTTCCACCGCTAGACCAACCGCTCCACATGCAACAGTCCACCGCATGCACGGTTTCATCACCATCGGCAACCGATTCGGCAGCTTCGCCGCAATCTATTGTCGGGGATTCGACGTCATGGTCAAAACTTAAAGAGCTCGACCCATTGACGTTCACGGACTTCCAGTGGATGCCCGTTCCCTCGACCGGACGATTGTCGAAACCGCATTGCAACGCGCTTATGGCACAATTGCGGGACTACTTGCACACTGCAGTACCAACTTCGTTGATGGACGTCAGAGCAGAGGTTGTCGACCTTCACGCTTTCATCGCGAAGACCGACCGCGAGTTCAAGACGCAACGRTACGACGACATCGACGCACCATTGCTATACATACGCATTCAGATCGGAGAGGCGACCTGCAGTGCCTTGATCGATTGCGGAGCATCTCGCAACTACATCAGCCAGGACTTCATGGTACGCGCCGGCCTTGGCCCATGTGTCCGGAGTAAGTCCCAGCCTACGCAAGTCACTCTGGCAGACGGTCATACGCACAAGTCCATCGACCGATGCATTGACGTCGTCCCAGTGTACTTTGCCCCCCATGCAAGTGAGGCGGTGTCCTTCGACATTCTGGACACCAAATTCGACATGATCTTGGGCATGTCATGGCCGCGAAGCAAGGATCACCCTGTGAACTTCTTCAACCGCACCGTTCACGTTCGTGACCGGAACGGAGTATTAGTTCCATGCACGGTGCCTTTTCCTCATCCTTCGATCAGCTGCCACGTGGTATCCGCCGCAAGCATGCGAGCTTCCATCATCAGAGACGACATCGAGGAGATGGGGGTGTGTTTTCTCCACGCCCTCCCGCCACATGACGCTTCATCGACGGACTCACCTTCGGATCCACGCATCACCAAACTTCTCGACGCCTACAGCGACGTGTTTGAAGGCCCGCATGGAGTAGTACCAGATCGACCCATCCGCCACGAGATCATCCTCGAGGACGGGGCCGTACCTCCGCGCGGTTGCATCTACCGAATGAGGGAGGAAGAGTTAAGCGTGCTTCGGGCACAACTCGACGACAGGCTGGATTCGGCCTAGCTCATCGCCATACGGTGCTTCTGTTCTCTTGGTCCGGAAGAAGAACAAGGATTTGCGGTTGTGCATCGATTATCGCAAGCTCAACGCGCAGACGATCAGGAACGTCGGCCCTCTCCCATGCATCGACGACCTTCTCGAGCGATTGGGCGGCRCCCAGTTCTTCTCTAAGTTGGATCTCAAGTCAGGGTACCACCAACTCGAGATTCGCAAGGAGGATCGCTACAAGACCGCGTTCAAGACTCGGTATGGGCATTTCGAATGGCTGGTCATGCCATTTGGCCTTACGAATGCCCCAGCCACTTTCCAAGCG